GTATGTAAATTTACCTAGAAATTTGGTCAAATTTACTTACCGCACAGTAAATCATGAAAAAACCTGATTATTTTCAGTAACAGAACATTCTCCGTAATTTAACCTATGTATTTTGAGTTTCTTTTTAAAATTACTCAATCGGAATTTGCAATTAATCGATATCGATAAATTGATTTGCTCCTCCTCTCTCTAATTTCAGGGATATAAGAAGCACACATAATATTGTAGTATATTGTTTCACCCGCGAAAGATTGTCGAATTAACCGTGTCATTTATAGTATAAGGAAATACCGGCGACTATTTCGACAAATCGAATCGTTCGAAAAAAGCCAGACGCGGGCAAGTCGTACTCATCGAAATTAAATACGTTCATGCTCGTACGCAAACAGTGGCTTGCCCTCGTGCTGAGCGTAAATGGAAGTAACAAGGAGGCATAATGTATCACCACCTCGAGGATGATTCTTACTTGCACCATCGCCGACGAGATGACGCTGCGGGATACACCGCCACCGCACCAATCAACCAATGTGGAAGCGAAATCAACGGAAATCGACAGGATATTTACTCCGTAAATGACTCGTTTATGTAGAGTTTTCAGAAAAATTGCACAGCGTACTTGAACTGTGACAAAACGACGAACAGTGCGAGTACTCTTTCCGAGAGGTTTAAGAGCGAGAGAAATTTCACAACATAAATCGGTATCAACGTTGGATCGTTCTGTAATCAATGCGGAAGTTATCGATGTAATCTTGACTTTCGCGAAAAAATAACATCAACCTTTGAAACAGGAAATGGATTATCTTTTATCATAAAACTTAAAACTGTTCCGGTTATCTATAATATTTTCTGTTCGTTTGTAAAGTTTCTGTTCGATTAGAAACTAAACCAACGTGCAAGGAAAATATTATATTAATTCCAATATTAAAAGATATGTTCTGGATATTAGTTTAAGCTTTGTTAAGAAATTTGGAGTGAACGTATGGAGTAATTTAATATTCAATTATTATCGACATCGTACACTGTTTTGGGTAATCCGAATGTTAAAGCTGCCCAAGGAAATACGCGAGCATCCACGTATCCCGAAGAATTTCTTGGTCGATAAAAGAATTTCAGGGGGTCATCGAATACTTCTCACTCTTGATTGCTCCTTGGAAAAGTTAAATTTTATGTGTCAGAAGCGCGAACATCGTATAACCTACAACAAGGTTTGCTCTATCGATTTCGTCTCTCACAATTTCTGCCAAGGGGGATCGGCTGTAGCTTATAGATGAATTATAGTTGCTCTTTGCTGTCGCGCATTCAACGGTGATGTATGACTCGACGGGAGATGGTAGGTAGAAAACATCCACGATGTACGGCCTGTTAATAACAGCAAGAATGAACGAACGGCTGCACAGCGCGGTACACAGATGCCGCTGGCGGCTAGACCCCCTTTGTGTTTTATTACAAACGATACGTCAGCCACGATGTATGGGCTGCTTTTATCCGCGGCCTGTTATTGACGTGCTAAATTGTCTGCCCTGACTCGTAAGACTGGCCAGGATGGTTGGTAGACATCGTTCGCGAACGTGTTCTCTACAACAAAACGATTCACTCGAGGACGAAACGAGTTTCTTCCATCAAAATTATGCCGAAACTTCTCTAATACGAACATTATAGAAATCATTGAACGTTTCGAACACAATTCTCGACAGAAATACCGTAGGTATCGCTTAAAATCTACGTCGACGAACAATTTAATCTCGTAAAGTATCCTATATAAATATTTACATAATGTCTTTTTATTGTCTATTTATTCTTAATTCCATCGAGGCATACTTATCGGCTTGGGTATACGTACTTCTTAAAAAGGGCTCTCAAATAGAACTAAAATGTTAAGACCACTGGTAAATACTATTCTTATTCCTTATAACAAAAATTAAACGTATTTAAAAACTATTGAAATATATATGTAAAAATATATTTGGAGACTCGTCGCTACAAAGGAACAAAAATATATAAAATATATGAAATGGATAAAGTAATTTTGCGATACGCCATAATTTCCTGTCGGTTACTCGAAAATCGCATCATTTTTTCTTTGTTTTTTATTTTTCTCGCCTGTTCGTATCTGGCTCGGAAAACGAGAAACAATGAAATCAAAACACCAATGATGAAACTATTAAAAAATCAACAAGATCTACAAAAAAATTATCTATTCCTTCAGCAATATTCATATGACACGCCGTATATAAAAATAATCGTAATTTTTCCTCCTACCATAAGTATTCGATCTTAAAATTTGATTCAAGTAGCTATTCACGTTTACGGTTGGAGCGATGAAATATAATAAATAATAACGACAATTGATAATGATTCGAGGACAAGAAAAGCTTGAATCGTGGCCAAACAAGATAAGAAAAAGTCACGGTAAAAGAAACGAATATTGATCGTGGCATGTATAGCTCGTACAATAATAATAATAATAATAATACCTGGTAACACAAAGTACAATTCAATTTTTGCGAGGCGAAATAGAATAGGTTTGTAGATTTGTACTTGGAGAAAGTTGTCATTTCCGGCGCAACTTGTCGATTTGTTGTCACGAGAGAACAGGAAAATGATTACGTTCTTCTAACCGGAAATAAAACGTTGCGTATCGCCATATTACTTTTACAGATATTTTAATTTTTCACTGCGCGTATCTAACAAAATTGTTTATAACGATTGCATGAATGGTAAAAAGAGAAAGAGGAATTAATCTCGATACTACTGACGAGCAGTGTGTAGTGTGTACAAACAAAGATATGATGGATAATCATCAGCCGGATCATAACAGATGAAACAAACAAGTATCTAGAGCCTCCGAAAATTTAAGGGAACATTATGCTTAACGCATCTTTATTATACTATTATAGATATTAATTTCTTTTTTTCAATGTCACTTGTGAACTAATTATTTCATCGTATTCGAAATATGTAATAAACGATCTATGCAGATAGTTTCGAGTAACAAGGTACGATGTCCGATAGGCAAGTCATCAAGCTATACATCTATTTAACTGACAGAGCAATCTACATATTTATTATTACCGAGAATGTGACATTCGAGCGATGTACGATCGACCATTCTTATACGGTAACTATCTAATAGATTTATATTTTTCTTTTTATCATTATCACAGACACATCACGGCATCGCGTTAATGTCAAAATAATAGTTCCGACCAGAAGATTGGGGATACAAAAGCGGTATAACGAACAGGTGTTCGAAATATTTTATGTGGAAAGTCTATAAAATCACGTCCAAAGCTTGACTAACGTCACGCACGGGACATAAATATTCTGTTCGTTCTCGAAATAAGATAGTTAACGCCGGTTAAAGTAAATCGAAATAATTTACACTTGTATCCACAAAAAAACAAAGAAACACCCGGAGATAATAAATATTTCGGATGGGTAAGGTTTGAGATTAACGAATATATGTATAACCTACAAGTTTGGAAGTTATCTTTACGACTTTTTCATCACTGAAATCCTTTTTACAGTAACCAGTAATTGATTTTCGGCAAAAGATAGTAATTACAGCAACGTAAATTTTTGTCCGATTTTATCAAATTTTATTAATTAAATAATATGAAAGTAACGAAAACTGTGCGTTTATTGTGTCAACCACATTTCCTATACTGTATGTATAATTACTCGCTCGATTATCGATCAGATTAATATATGTATCTTCTTTCCCTTTTATATTTATTCCTGATTTTGCTAAATTAAATTTAGTTAAATCATGATTCAATAATGAAATTGAAATTGTTGACGCGGGCGTATACTGTAGCGAGTGATCGTATCGCATATGTTCGCAGGAACATCGTGTATGCATAAACAAAAGATTCCCTGGAAAGTGTCCCGTACATATTTGTTCCTCGATTCAATCACGGAAGCATAACTAACACAGTGTTAGATGCATCTACGCGTAAGTACTCTAGTTAGAACAGACGAGTCGCTAATTGAGATTCAGTGATGCACATAATGGTACAGAAATAACATGAATTCCAATCCGTGGGACGAGGCGGGAATGCAAAATACGAGACCATTCATCTCGACGGTTAAAATCGCCGAATATTTCACTTTGCTGAGCCAGCTGAGCTTGCCACCCTGTCGTGGCACCCTGGCGATGGAAACGACGTACCCCCTCTGCAGGGGTCTAAAAAGCTTCAACCACCCACTCTGTCTCTCCTTCGTGACCGTTCTCGTCGCTCCTTTGCGTTTTCCTTTCATCCTCTCCTTCGGCCCGCTCCTCTCGGCCCCTTTTCCACCTTCCAATGCTAGACTGCAGATTTATGCGCCCCGCCTTGCAGCGTTGATATCCGAGAACTCGCGACCTGCTCCGTCCGTAATGAAAGAAATAAATTTACTCTCCTGGGTGCCCCGGGGATTGAGACTCACCGTTCGTGTGCGCACACCAACACAGAGCACTCTGGTGGTGCGAATTCAAACTATACATACTCATCTGGTGGTGGCTCCGTCACTAGCACTGTAGCACTACTCGTCCGCCGACGTCGGCTCGCGTTTTCCTCTATCGATTATTCTTATCCATCTCTTATTTTGTACCAATATATAGTATCTATCTATCTATCTATCTCTATATAAATTATACACAATCTTCGATATGATGAATATGTTCTTTTTTTTTTTAAACAAATAGAAATCATGCGTTGGTAGTATTTGTCAGGAATGAAAATGAATGGTCTGTTTAAAAAAAATATCTCGACAACATTATTGGGAAACAAATGGAGCATAAGCAAAGTCAATTACGTTATCTATACAAACACAAACCGTGCAAACGACAGACAAGATATATTATATAAAACGTTATTAATCGCTGCCAGAACGAATCGTTTTAATTACAACACCAATCAATTGAAATACATAAAAGTAGTTAATCGAACGATCGAAAAAGTGGCGAAATTAATTCGATCTTAATGAAGTAACGAGAAATGTATTAGAAAAGAGACAAGTTTAATGATTCCACAAACATTGTTTTTATTAAAGCGGTATGGAAATTCAACGATATTTACAAGAGATATTTACAGTGCAAATAATATGTATCGTACATTGATTTTTTTCGATCGGAATAGTTGCCATGGTAGAAAACCGATGGATTTCTCAACGAATTCAAAAGACTGTTAAAGATTCTCTTTGCGATAATGATATTTTCAAGTCCGCGAAATAATCTTCACATTTCCTGTCCGATTTAAATACATAGATCTTTAGATAGATTCTTTCTTTCTATTAGATGAACGATGCGTATAAGTTAGATGTTATATTTTGCCGTAGAGATAGTTTAGACACACCATTGTTGACATTATCGTTTATTATTTCTTCGAAAAAATAGCATAATATCACAGTTATATCATGGACATAGAACATGCACGACCGTCGGTACGCGCTATCGAACAATCGAACGTATAGCTACAGAAGAGAGGGGATTACGGGTGTCGCGCACACGCGTCTATAATTTTCTCGAGCACGCAGTATTGTTTTTCAGAGACTAAACGCATATCACTTTAAACACAATTAAAAAATACATATATATCATATACCGTGGAAGCCACAGAGCACAGGAAATTTTCAATATATACGATTAACAATCCGTTCATCGACTATCCATAGGTGTCGACTCAGAATCTCTTTGCGGCTATAGAAACACCTTAAACGTTAACTGGGTTGCATGAAAATATTCCTTTCGGCTTGAAAAATCGCAAATCGGATATTCACTTGCGGTGTACATGTTCCTCCCTAGATAATAATCAAATGTTGAAGAGATACGTTAGTATTGGATTTCTGTAAAGAATGATCTCGCGATGAAACAAACTTGTCGATATATTTATCTCAACTTTACGAACTTATAGTTTCAAATTTATACACACATATGCATATATATTTTTTTGTTTAAATAAATTTATATTATACACGTTTAATTATTTACACAACAGTCTGTCAAAGTCTCGTATCGACGGTTTTCTATTTTACACTATTACGATCTGTACACTGATCGTTTCAACATCGGAGACGCGTTTAAGGATGTACGGCGGCACCGATTCGCTGTCCGTAAATCGCGTACGGTGAATAGTAAGGTCCCAGCGCGTTAAAAGCGCTGTAAGGCGATGCTGCCAACGATGCTGGAAGAGGTCCCGTCGGCGGTTTTCCGTACGGATGATATCTAGCGCTCAAAGGACTGAGAGAAGGCGTTGGGTACGATCCGCCGCTCGCGCGATGAAGAGCTGCCGACGGTGAAAGCAACGGATGGGGGTGCGGATTGCTGAGAAGGGCGGCCGACGATGCATGATCGCTACCGGTCAAGCTGGTGTGGCTACGAAGATGTTGAAGAAGTTCTTCCGATGTGGTGAATCGTTTGCCACAGTAGGAATCGCCAGCAATCCAATTACAAACGTACGGTCTACCGCCGGTTAACGTGGATGGGTACGAAAGCGACGGGGGAGCCATAGGGCCTAACGATGATAACGCCATCGCTAAACCATACTTCTGATGATCGCACTGCGTGCATCCGCTAGGGCAAGTTCCGCTACCCATCATTAACTGCGCGCTATGCATACTGTATTGGCAACCGGTACAGTAAGGATCCTTGCAAACTGGAACGAGTGCTTCTCCGCCGGCTGGAGTTTTGACTCGAGCATAGCTCAAATATGGATTTCCGCTGGTCGGGGTTGTCGATGGATAACCCAAGAGGGCTGCTGCGGCGGCATGGTGATGGGAAAACGGGGAGGCACCGGCAAATGGTGGTCTGAACGCTGGATTCTCCGAAAGTCCTGGTGGACAGCAAAGCGGGTTGCTAGAAAATCCGGCGAGACCAGGCTTGTAGGCACTCAAGTTGGAATCTTTTCCATGATTGCCAGAAAGAATCTCCATTCCGGACCTGATGATCGGACTGGCCCCGTTATTATTGTTGCGTGGCGATCCATCGGTCTTTTCCCGATCCGCCGGTGTCTTTCGATCGGCCGACGGAGTGCTAGTCGACGTCGCTTGACTCGCGGGCGACGCGGACTTTCGTCCGACGGGCGTGCGATTTCCCGACGATTTTTTCTCCATATGACTACTATCACTTGCACTCACACTGTCCTGCCCACTAACACTGTGTACACTGGCTTTAGATGTCGGTCTGCTTTCGTCGGCCGACTTCTTCGAAACAACGTTAGTTTCGTACGGTTTGAAGGCCAATGATTTCCCATCCGACGGACTGCTACGGGTGTTCCGTTCCAATTTTGCAGCTGGCGGTGACTTTGCATTTGTTCCGGCGCTCATACCCTTCGAACTTTTATCCAGCGGAGATATCAGCGGCTTCGTTGGTGAATCAGCACCGATTTGACTGCATGTTTGTGCCAGTAAAGCTAATGGACTCTTCTTCGCATCCAACTGTAAAATAAAATATGAAAACTTATAAAATATGGGGCGATTTTGCCGTGAGTTCGAAAGAAAACACGGTAACAGATCAACATACGGTTACCCGTCGGACAACACTTGCCGTCCGATAAGTAACAGCTCGATGTTCGAAAATACCGGAAAAAAATGTCTCGATCAATCTCTCGATCGATTCTATCGGTAGTTTTACACTTACGATATACATAAAACGACTAATCGATGAAATGTTGCCATTTCTTAGACGCGTTCGAAGAATACGGATAATATATCATAGACCGAAATAAAAAAATCTCAATCGGAAATGTTATTTTTGATGATATATACTAACCGTAGTTGGAAGCGGAGAAAGATAATCCGGTTGTAGATACTGATTGTGTCCAGTAGTCAGCATACCGCCTTCCTCGAGGACAACCATTTGGTTTTACACTTATTAAGCCAATCACTGCACAAAACCACAGGTATATCCCACAAATCACGAAAAAGAAAGAAACTGATTCGTAAACGTTTCAACGAGTACACGTTCTCGGTTTCGGTTCGGTATGCGCGTCGGCCGATCGATCCTTCCGTAGCACGAAACGATTAAACGCAAACGATGTTGACCGAGTGAAATCCAGGAAAATAGTGGGAGCTCTCGACGGAGCTGTTCGGTGCGCGAAGTGGAATGCGACCGCAACGCCGCCTAGCGACACGACATGCTCTTTTCCCCTCCCTCTTCATCAAGCTGGGGTGTATAACCTGTCCTCTCCTGTCATCCCCACTATTTCTGGTCGGAGGATTATGGTGGGAGAATTGCGGTGGGGTTTGGCCCTGTGTGGGGTGTGGGAAGGCATTCTAATTCAACACGCCACCCATGATGTTGGCCCGACGATGACAGCTCCCATCCCGGCTTTGATATTTCACCGCTTTTACAGCCGTCCTCTCCTACCCCGACCCCTCCCTTCTCCTCTCTTCTCGTCTCCTCTCCTCTTTCGTTCCCTTACTCTCCACACCCCTTTCCGTTTGCCTACCATAGCTACCTCGACACGGAACCGTCCCTGCCATCACAGCAACCCGATATTTTATACCGTGAAACCTGTCTGTCTCTCCGACTGGCCTCGCTTAATAAGCAGCTTTCAAAATAGAAATGTAATGGCCCGGTGGGGAAGGGAATGTCGGGTGATTGATTGCTCGCTCAGCGACTTACCGACTTGCCACAGCCTACGGGATAACAAATGACAGCCACTTAAGCGCTGTTTGCCTACAATTTTGTAAAAGCGTTTTAATTATCGCCCCGACCGCACCTCGACTTTGTCGCGCATCCAGTCACTCGATACTAAACGTTTCGAGGGACTGATCTTTTTCGCTTCCTTCTTTTAAAATACCTTTACGTGTCTTGAAATAGTCCACGTAATCTCCTAAGAATTACGTTCCATCAGGATTCATCGAATATTGTACATACATACATATGTATATAGATCTGCTACTGCAATAATATCCTTTGACACATGTATATTTGAACTTCCTCTTCCTATTAAGTACATGAGTTTTCAATATTTGCATAAAACATTTTATACTTTATCTTGCTTAATTTACACATTTTTTCATCATTTATCTACCAAAATTCGATACCGAATTGAAACTGAAATAAATTTAAAACTATACTTCAATATTTCTTATTACTTACGTTTTTTCAACGTATTTGAATTTATGTTAAAGTTCGTACACGTACACGTTCTATACTTTTAGTAACAACGTGTAAAACAGCTGTACGATTTACTGTTTTATTGCTCTTTACTTAAATGTAAAATAACGATCGTTTTATGGTAAAATCATACCGAAACTTTTACAATATCGAAATCTGAAAAATTGTCAAGATATAACTGGAGAAGAGAACACAAATTTATACCTGTGAGTACTTGTCTGTTTTTCATCACCCATTTGTAATACAATATTACGCATGTGTATGTTTATGTTTAAGTATACAATGTGTGCAAATAAATACCGATGATGTTGATCGTGATCCACATAGTTTCATCCCAGGACAGCACGGTACTTTTGTCAATTGCTTTTGGAAAGGGTTTTTATATACATACATACATTTAGGTACATCGATGTGTAGAATAACAATGCGTTAACTTTATTCGTTTGCGTACGAATTAAATGAGAGGAAAAGACTCATAAAAAAACGTACATTGGGTATAAATATATCTATGTGTTTATCGGTAAATTGATATCGATGGAACAGCAGCATATCGCAAATAATCTTACATTATTGGAACTTGTATTATTTCAATCTCCATCGTTTGTAAAATAAATACCTTTTCGTCAATATTAACAGGGGTTCGTAACAAAGCGGTTCTCACATTTTAAATTCCGACGAAAATAGATACTAGAATAGATAGGAGAAAAATAGATAGATATTATTTCCAATTTTTGTTACTATTTTTAAGTATAAGGTCATTCGAACGTTACGACGAAAACTAATTGCTTAGTTTCGATCCCTGATCGTTATAAACTACTTTCGAATATTGTTGCGAAACGTATTTATTTAAAACCCCGGAAATGTTAACACGTTCGGTATATATTATATGCCCATATGTTAGAAACTACGCATCGCAACTATTGCAATCACTAAGCGTAATTAACAAAAAACTTGAATATCAGCCTGGTCGAAACTCAAACATTCCGTACGGTTAGGAGATTACGGCTATTTCACTTGTTAGTACAACTTAAGTACAATTAAGCGGTCGATGAAATAGTTATGTTACAGAGTAATTACAACTAATTATGACAATATGCACACGTTGAGTACGTAGACCGCATACCTGTCGTAAGTAATAATTAGATTGGGAAATGCGTACATTGCATCAGAATGTATCTGAATAATATCTAAGAAATGCATAGAGGCTTGTCAATTGCCATTTAAATTTAAATTCATAATGGTTTCGGAGTTTCTAGACGTTATGATATACGGTGCAAAAAGCTAAGTACCTACTTTGAATAACATTACATATTTTGCTTTTACGACCCTTCAGTTAAAGTCAATTTTCTTTACAAAATATTCTACGTATATTACACACTTTTTATTCAAATATTATTGAACGCCATCTCAATTTTCAACTAAATGTTAGAATTATGTAATTGCGAGCTTAAATTATTTGATATTCTTGTGATTTTGATATATATGTAATTTAATGTCTAATTTTATGGACACATGAGCCGAAATAATTGAATTTATGTAATGTGTAATGGTATAAGAAACAAGAAACAAAATTATTTATTACTATAATACTATTCTCGATGAATTTCTAACTTCTATCAAAGAGTCGGATTCGCGGTAAATATTACATCTCTCTCTATTGTGAAATATTTCCCAGAAGTAAAGGCTTGTCAGAGATCTACTTCCACGGAACATCTACGTCTCTCTCTTTCTGGCTCTCCCTTTCTTTATCTCCCTCCAACCGTTCACTGTTTCTGTAAAGTTATGGCGCCGTTAATACCCCAATGGCAAGTCTTTGACGTTTTGACACTGACGGATGAGTTTATGGCTAATATAGTTCTCTTTCATCTCCGCCGCTTCTTCAGTCAACGTTTCAGAGATTTCAAGACGACAGCTACCAGGCGGGTAACGATTCAGCTTTGATGTGTTATCGACGGCTGTACCGCATAAACAACATTTACTATATAACACGACTAGCATATACGGTAACGACAGACAAAGTGGAGGAAACCTTTAGGTTCTAAGAGCAGCTTTATACAAACTAAGTCACCGAAACTAACAATTTCCCGATCAGAAATTATTGTGTATATTCGCTATATATCTCTTCTTTCGAATCTTGCGTTCTCTCATCTAGTAGAATGTTTCGATATCAAGCGAAACGTTTAGCTTACTTTAAACTGCATGGTCAAGATGAATGCCATGATAGAGGTTCAAACAGATTTCCAGTTATTCGGGTAACAATAAACTGTCATTCAATATGTAGATACGATATTACAAGTATAAATCTGTGTTGAGTACACGAAAATAAGATTTTCCATCCATAATATTCGGTTTTATACAAATTTATTCTTTTTATTATTCTACAGCAATTAACATTTTCGGAAATGCTTGTAGCTCGAAAATAATATCAGATCATTCGAGCAAGACATAAAGACATCGTTTGCAAGAGATTTGTAGGTAACGCGTTATCCGTAAAATTGGTCAAGAATAGGTAATGCAATAAATAACATAGTAGAGGTATTCCCTTTTACGAACACAGCCTAGGACGTCGCATTATATACAATTTGTTGTGACAGGGTAATAATGTTTCGAGCAATCATCAGCCCGGATTAGGGCATTGGTTAAGACCTTAGTCGGGATTCAGGATTTGGGAACCATAACGATCGGACACTTCAAAAGTTTTTACAAATAGTGTCGTAAAAATGCCAAACGATGCAGGTATATTGTAAACAATAATTACAATGTCATTTCGTAGGTTGGTGAAATCTTGTACGAAGAGTCGTTCAATCCAAATAAAAATTTTCAAATATTTTCTTTCCGAATATAACATTTACTTTCTAAATGTAAAACTTTACTTCACATTTAATGATTAAGAAAGAATACATCAATGTGTACGTTTCGATCTTTTAGAGGGTTCTTTTTAAAACATATTTCAAGTTTCTATCATTTCTCGAGGAGGACTAACTTCGGTCAAATTATATCGTTCCCCGTTAAAAATATATATCAATATTTCGAGGTCTTTCCTTTTCCATATATCGGTACATTCTTTAATTCGCGAAAGTTTAAAAACAATAGTCGAGTTCCGACGCGCGACGACGAAGGCCAAGGTGCATTCTGCTACTGTTTCAGGTACACTACTCGGCACGAGGTCTTACAATTGTACATCGGACTAATTAGTCGGATGTACATACATTATATATACGATATCATCAACTATCGTACATGTTCAAGTTTACAAAGAAAGATGATATGAAAATTAAATTACGATAGCAAAGGATTTATTAGAATCGATTACAATTGACATAAAAATATATTACATTCAAGTTTACAACCGAGGAAGAAGAAAAAGCTCACTAGCCACGTTGAAAAATCATTACAGAATACAAATTTCTAAAAAGATTAAATAATAATAATGTAATAAATAGACTGCGGATTCTTATGCATTTACAGGAAATTTTAACGTCAGAGAAGGTATAAAATACATACACTATGCAATAATATAAAAAGATATCGAAAGTAAAATTTATATTATAATATTTGCAAAGTAAAATAAATTCTTACTTAGGTTAAATTCTCCTACGTACGTTTATAAAAATTATATTTTGCATATAGATCCGCACTCTAGTAATAAATGTTGAAAAAAAATGTATTATACATTATCGTTAATTTAAACGAAGCAGAATTGTTTATTTTTGCAAGATTCGTTTCTGAAATGTTGTTAAACGATTACGAAACAAGTAGCTAATTTATAACTATGCGCTAATTCGAATCAAAGCTTAAACCGCACGAACTCTCGGCCATGATCGTAATTTTCGTCAAGACTCGACAATACCTTGGTAATACTTCAGGATGGTCATCTTTTATGATGTATTGTGACCATACGAATTCGTTTTGGGGACAATAGATACTAGAACGCTGGATAAAAGTGTAAAAATGCTGACAAGCGGA